ATTCCTTTGCTTGGATGCTCTCAAAATAGCTACTACGTTTCCCTGATCTTTCCCTGTTGTGTAGGTTCCCTAAGTATGTTGTTCTGAGCCTTCCCCTGCCTCGCTTGCCCTCAATTGCCGGAAAGGCGGCATTTGTTTAAAAAGTGATTTTTTTCTCAAGGACATAACGTCGGACGGAACTGAGCCTCGAACCCCCCAACACGTCATCTCACGAATATGATCAGGAGTCCGAAAAATCAGATATCTGAAGTTGGATGAAGAATTTTGACCTGAAACGTACTTCTTCGGGGAAGGGGCGGGGCGGAGTGCGAGTGTTTGTGGTCAGGTTGCATGGGGGAAAAGAGAGAAAGAGAGAGAGAGAGAGAGAGAGAGAGAGAGAGAGAGAGAGAGAGAAAGAGAGAGAGAGGGGGGGAGAACTGGACAAAGAAAGACAAAGAGACAAACCGGCACTGCATGACGAATGCCTTTGATTCTAAGGATTTTGTTCTTCGTGATGAAGTCAACGAAAATCAGAAATTTCTGAGCTTGTTGTACTCTCACCCCTCAGCCTGAGAGACTACAATTTTTTTGTAAAGATACGTTGCATAAGAATGACAATGTGGGCACAAATTAATAGAGATACGAAAATAGAGAAAGACATTGATACATAGAGATAGACATGTAATAACCAGACTGAAGAAAAGAAACAGACATAGATTTGAATTACATTAGTGAAGTCAAGAAGTGACAAGGAGATATAGACAGAGACCCAAAAAAATGACGATACAAACATTAATGATACACACCTGCAGAGCCCTGCACTATACCTCTTTTAACAGCATTAATTCAGTCTGCTCTGACTGCAAATAAATACAAACCGATTTAAGAGGAAATGCGTTACACCTCGATCGACGCCTTTTAGATACTTTCGAAGGCACTTGCAACAATGATATTGCATATCGGTACTAACCATAGTTAATGTGAAGGGCAACATCCCAGCAAACTGAAGGTTGAATAATAATATCTCTTGATGGACCCATTGACATGCCTTTTACTACCTTAGACAATAAAATCTGACGCAATCACGAATTACTATGAAGTGTACTATACATAATTTAGAACCAAAATAAAGGGCATTTTTTGGAGGGGTGTGGAGGTAGGGGGTTAGGTGCAGTGTGCACTCCACTATAACAAGGCTATTGTTTTATCCGTTCTGGGGGTGCCCATGACGCATTAATTGCTTCGCTACGAAGTTTTTATAGAGAACAAAGAGCGGCTGGATTGGCAGTGCATGGTCTAGGATATCATAATGTAGTTTACGTCTATGGTGGGATCAGAACTCGCGACTTTTGCATGCAAGTTGAAGAACTTAACTCCTCAGACTCTAGAGCCGGCGTCTGTGGTGTAACGATTTGGCAGTTCGTCGTCACGCGCAGGAGAGCCGAGTTTGATTCCCGTGTGGGGAGAACATTTTACCCGAGTACCTAGATCTTTCCTTTGCGACGTTGCATCCCTCTCAGCATGGCCGTCTCCTGAATGTTCTAACTTCTGTCTTCGGGGACGTACAACATCTTTATTAAAAGAATACAGACAAACCAATCTTCTTCCTCAGGTCTGTCAGCTTCTGAGGCAGGATGGGACTCAAAAATTTTTTGACAGTAACCAAAAAGTGCCTTACGCTGTCCACGATTACGATTGGGTGGGTTATGAAGACCCCGACAGTGCACAACTTAAGGTGAGCAGATTATGGATTGTTTCACAATAATCTTATACCAATAACGTCCTTTCTCTATGCAGCATTAAGTTTCAATTAGAATAATGCTAATATAATGTGTTTTCAAAGACAAAATACTCTTCATGTAATGAAAATAATAATGCATATTGTGTACCGTTCACAGTTAAAACAATTGATCGTTACTTTCATGTGAATGGAGTGCGTTGAATAATCTATGTTCGGTTTTCTGTTCTCCTTTATCTTCTTTTTGTCAGGTTGCTTGTTAATTAGTTGGTAAGTTAGTTTGTGAGTTAGTTTTTAAAATTAATTTGTTTGTTTGTTTGGTTGGTTGGTTGGTTACTTGGTTGGTTGGTTGGTTGGTTGTTGGTTAGTTGATTGGTTTCGTGGTTGGTTGATTAGTTGGTTTTATTAGTTGGTTGGTTGGTTGGTTGGTTGCTATTGAGGTGTTGTTTTCTTTTTGCTTCGCATCATGGCGTCTCTTCTCCCAGATTTGTGAAAACAGTATGGTTTTAAATAATATTTGAACTAAATTAAATTGCTGTTGAGGTAAGAAAGATCGATGTTCCATATTATCCTGTTGTTGTAGGGTTTATGCAAATTGTGAATGGATTCGTTACTACGCAATGACCGCACTCAGGTATTACACACTACCAATGTATTTTACGTAGGAAAGTATCAGAATGGTCATTATACGCATTAGAACTCTTTCGTAACCATCACGGATATTCGGTGCATGTGCATGTCCAGTCCACCCACACTTCTAAGTTACTTTCATATTACACAATTTTACCAAATCTGATTTTTGTAAGGTTAATTTTGAGTGGCCATATCTCGCAGATATAATATTATTGGGCCTGATGATGTAGAATTTTTTTTTTTTAAATTGGTGCGCTGCTTGACGGATAGTGCACGTATTTCTGACAATATATAGGTGGATACATTTTCAAGTTTCTTTTGGACGCCCCTGTATAACCCAATTCCAAAAATACCCATTGTCCAGTGCGTATACTATGCCGTATCTAGTCAGGTGCTTCACCCATTCCGCCTCGAGCGTACCATTATCACATCTGGTATTATGCTAGACTGAGGAACGGCGATGGCCGTGTTTCGAATCATTAAAGTGGTACAGTATTCTGAACTGGTGGTTGTTCTGGGGAGTTTTTACGGCTCTCCACTCCCTCGCTTCGATCCTCTCCGAGATTGTCGTTCAATTTGGAGGTCCCGCCTACACACAGTGTTGAAAGGGGGCGGGGGTCAAACCAATACAATGACAATGAAGTTATTCCTCTGCCCCCCCCCCCCCCCCCGGGTCCCTTTTTCCCCCCCCGGTTTTTTTGGCCCTGGGTTAGGGGAAAAAAAATAGAAAATGGGGGGGGGGGGGGCGCGGGGGGGGGAGGGGGTGTATTTATTAGATTGAAATGGCGGGGACACAGATTGTGAAAGGGAGATGTTTTTATTAGATTGAAATGTCTGGACACGCAGCACTTTTAATTTTGGAATAGCACGACAAAACAAACACAATGAAATGGCCTTAGTTTTGCACAATAACTGTGCACTTTGCCATTGTCTGTTCTCTAAGCTCAGGCTATAATCATGCTCCAAAATAGGTAATTGTTAGTTTTACCTATTATTGACTGAGAATGTTTGAGATATACATATGTGATTATTAACTTTGCTGTTCTCACCTCTTTATTTCTTCTGTACTGCGTATGGCAGGTGCCAGACATTCGGAGTGCATGGCATGACTCGTAGTAAGCGCCAACTGGCACATATAAAAGTTAGAAAGTACAACAAATACATTTTTTATCATCCGTGCCTGTTCTTCTTCATTGGCCACTCTGCATGCTGTAACTATGATACACTCTCAGCCTTCAAAAAGACATAATATTACAAATGTGTGCTTAGTATGGCGTTAAACTAAAATTGTTGTACAAAATTAACTAAATCATGTAAATCATGTTTAATTTCAGGTGAAGTACATGATCGAGATGGGTGTTGCAGGCTGGATGTTCTGGTCTCTGGACCAGGATGACTTCACAGGCAAAGTGAGTACCGTTACAGAACTCGGGTGTATTCGCGGGTATTAAAGTTTAAAGAGAAAAATGAGCATTACTTCGCTAACCAGACATTGAGACAGAGTTCTTTTGAGAATTACACGAGTAAAAAATGTATATTATTGCGATTGAGAGAGATGGGTATCTCTTCTTTGCTTTCCCTCTGTAGTTTTTGTTTGTCTGTCTGTCTTTTACGATGCCCTATTTGGTCGGCATTGTCTCTGTGTGCTTCCCTTTTTTTCAAACTGCAACAAACAAAAGCAATTAACGCTTTGGAATTTGTTAAAACATTCACAAGATTGTGACATTGGGTTACAAGATTGTGACATTGGGTTCAGGAGGGATTCCTATAACAATTGGTTAATGTCACTAGTACTGCAGAATATATTCAGAGTTTTGGATCTGTATTGTACCTGATGAACAAAGCTGATAATATTCTGATAAAACGTTCAGATATTATAATTAACTCGTTTCGCTAACATTACTGTAGGTTAAAAAAATTATACGAAAGGTACGAGAATTCAGTAATACAAACTCGATAGTCTATGTATTCGGTGACAATATGCTTGTCATCAATGCTCTCCTTCCCTCTGCAGTGCTCTTACATTAGAGGACTTTCTCAACAAAATTGTTTGGCTTTTTAAAAAATCACTTTAACACTGGGCAGATTTGTTTCCCAAGCTTATGTGTTTAATTAAGTGACACGTAATGAGTAAACGGAACTTGCTTGATCCTATCTTCACCAGGCTTGCAACAACCAGAAATATCCAATCCTTCGAGTAATGAATTTCGAAGCTGGATTACCCGCGCCAACTGATGGAGACAACAATAATAACAACAACGACAACAATAACAACGACACTACCAATGTTAATCCCACTGATACTACGACTGACAACAACAACAACAACAACAACAACAACAACGGCAATACCAATGTTAATCCCCCTGATACTACCCCTGACAACAACAACGACCCTGACGGCGCCAACATAACACACAGTACAGAGATGTGGTGCTTGGTAGCAATTGCCTTAATCTCTCTACTGACCACGAATGTATTGCTCATGTAGAAAGTCACTCAACTTGCTATTGTGACTAATATTACGGTCTTTGGAGAGATAGAAATTGTCATTGTCGATTTTCTGTTCGGAGACACAACAGTCAAGCACACTCTGTAAGTGTTAGTATTACCCATTGTTGACTGAGAATATTTAACATAGTATTCAGTTTTATAAATATGTTATTAATAACAGAAAGTTATTGTTTTTGTTATTTTCCTTAATTATGGAAAAAATTAAAATATTCTTCATCTTAACATCATTATTATTCTCATCATGATAATAATACACATTTTAAATATAGTAATAATAATAATCACAACATAATACAA